GCGTTCGCAGCGCTAGGCGTTTGCACTGCACTTGCGCATTGTCAGAGAGAGCAAAAGCATTGAAGAGAGATCGGAGAAGCAGCGTAGGCGTGACCGCGAAATCCTAGCGACGCGGACTCCCGCCCAGGGCTCGGCACGAGGTGGCTAGATGAAAATGCGAAAAACCATGTCTTCCTTGACTTTTGGGTATTTTTACGAAGTCCCCTTTGACCCCCACCATTTTCCTTAGAAATCCTCCAAAAAACGAAACGTCGACTAAAAAAAAAACGTCGCCAAATCGCCAATTTTGCGTGTGTCTTCGGTCACAAAAACGAAACCCCTTTTGCTTTTCATCCCAAAAACGATACCCAGCTTGCTTGTAAGCCACCTCGTGCCGAGCCCTGCTCCCGCCATGCCGATTTTGGCCTAATTGGGATTGAGGCAGACTGTAAGTGCAATGTAATCCCTGTCCTCAGAGCACTTGGTAAAGCACACTTTTCTGTCTCTAGGTGTTTAAGTTGCGTAGCCAGTCACCGCATCCACTTTGTCAAAAATACACGACGAAATTGATTTTAAAGATAATTCCAGTATGCAGATTTCCTGCTGTTAGGAAGAGCTTGCCTGAACGAAAATGAGAAAAAGGACCCAAACCATCGTCATGAGAGTCTGTACGCTACGTCTCAACCCTTCCAAAATTGTTTGTGAGCTGGATACTCAATTACAACATCACACTCTTCGCTACCATTTTTGCATTTTTGCAACTGGTTTGTCCGAGTGTCTATTGGCCTCTTTGTTGCTCGATTTTCTTTGCTGAGCGTGGTAGATTTAGGTTCGTTGTGCACGCATGGAAGATGAAGTGGCGCATTCCCATAACGACGTTCTTGATGTTATCCAGCTATCCTCGATCTGCGAGTTTAATCCATGTCATACGCGGGCGGAATCTTCCGTATTCCATGCGCCTATGCACCATATTGGAGCTCGACGACCCCCCCCCCCCCCGAGAACGGGTCGCGAAATTTTTGAAAGTTACTTACATGGTTTATAAAAATGTGCAAGTGACTTGTTTATTTTTGTAAACAATCAAAATAATTTTTTAAATTTTTTAAAAATTCAAATTAGCTTTATAAAAAAAATTTTTCGGGGGCGTGGCTACCGCCACGCCCTCTTTTTTTAGATTTTAGGGATTGGGGCCTGCAAAAATTTTGAGAAGCCCCTTAAAATTTTTTCGAGTGCGTGGCTAACGCCATGCACCTTCTCTAAAGAATTTTTTTGCCGCTCCCCTCCGAGCCGGAATTCTAAGTACGCCACTGCTTGCCTCGTATGACTGGCTGCACAACCCGCCACCTGCTGTCTACAAACGTTGGAGCCGGCTAGCTATTCCGGCGTGTCCGTCCAACTGCCCCAAACATATGGGACGAGCCCGCCTACGTCTTAAGCCGCGATGATCACCAAACTAATTCCAGTACTTGACGTCAGAAAAATCCACAAGTTTCAACCGATCTCCGAGTAGTAAAGGAACGAGCCCTCTCCGCTCACGGTAGTAAACTTGCACAAAAGATACATACTTTCCCCGCGCGTCAGCGCGACACTATCCAAAAGCTATAACAATCACTTTGCTCGACCGCTAAATAACCAGACCTCACCGAGCAAAATCAATGAAAGAACGTGAAAAATCAGAAAATAATTGAAAGTGAGGTCGGAAATGAAAGACGCATATGGCGACAGTTGCGCGGCATTACATCCTCTCAATTTGGCAAACTGCCCAGCGAGGAGAGACACACGAGCTCGTCTAAAGTGTTGCGCACTGCAATATCGGAATACACTGGTGGCCGGACCTCTTTCATCCACACCAGATGAATCGAGTGTACCATTGGAGGAGGTGTTTGGAGCTTAGGAGCGGATATTGTCGTGACTCAACTTCTGAGCCTCTGACGATGGTAAAAAAAATCGTGTAATTTCTTGGTTGTGTCTGCGCGCAGAGCACACTTCGGCTGTCAAAAGAATTTGAGATTTTTTCGAGAAAACCAGAAAATTCTAATTTCACTAGTGCATTATGAGGTCCTCCTCAAATCGTCCTAGCATTCAAAGAAACGCGTGCCGGTAATTTTGACACCCTGTACATATCAGCAATTTTTCCTCTAAATCCTTAAATTTTTCCTTTAACGCAATCTAAAGTTTTGATGGATTCAGAGTGAAAATAATGCGGACACAACCCGTACCAAACACAGTGATAAGAAACAGCATTGCTAGAGATTGATTTACCTATTGTAATAGGAAACGAATTCAAGGAGAAATGTGGTCTGGTGTTCTCTGGAAATGACTGTTCAAATCTTGAAGGACATCTATCAATGGAGCGAAACCTCATTTTTTATCATTTGCACCTGTTCAGTTTGAGATGCTCAACAGAGATATTATATGCCTCTGTGTCAGAGTAATTTATTGGTCATACGAAGGGGACTTTTTTGCACAGTGAGGCAGAAATTGGGGCAATCCTATATTTTAAATACGGTAATTCTTACATTGGCTGAGATGCTTTCGTATTCTCACAATACGTTGTTCAAAAAAAACAACAGTAGTTTCATAAAAAGTTGACTACTTAATTAGCCTAACAAATTCAAGAAATTCGTTTTCAGAAGAACCATCTAAGTATTTGACTTGAATAATGAACTCCAATTTATAAATTTAAGCAAAGTTGTTGTCATAGTCTCTAGTAGCTGTAAAACCAGCTCACAAACAAAGTATCTGGAAGGCTTAAGACGCAGCATGCAGACAGCTCTCATGACGATGTTAGATTCCTTTTTTTCCTTTTTGTTCAGGCAAGCTTTCCTAACAGCACGAAATCACATTTTGCAAACCAAACTAACTAGGAAATTCTCAGAGATGAACAGAGTGAGAGCCAGAAATCAAAAAATGTCAAATTATCTTTATCGCAATCATCGTTTCACATCTCAAAGGTAGATAAGTTTGCAGCTTTGAACATAAAAAGGATTTAACACTAAGCAGCCTGCCATGTAAATGAGTCAGTTTACAAATAGGTGTTTTCCGATTGCTCGATTGACTAATCATCTTATTTTGAAAGGTAGGTCTCTTTTCGATAAAAGCACATTTACTAATAGTCAAGAGTTGGTTGGAGAATGTAGGCGCACTTCGGTATATAAAGAAGATTTGGCAGCATCTGTAACAAAAAATTTGGAATAGAGCTGATTTGAGCAAGATAAAGAACTTTTCTGTACACGGTGCAGAGAAAACAAACGGATTTATCTATCTTAAGCTTCGAATTGGCCAAAGAAAATGAGAAGAATAATGATGCAATGGTTTGGTGTCACTTTTAAGTAGCTTAACTTGAGTTTTCTTTAGCTTCGAAGCATACAAAATCTATTATAATCCAAACTTTTTTTCTGAGTACGTCACAAAAGCCATTGCCACAGAAATCATAAATGAAATCACAAAAGCAGTATATATATATATATACCACCTGCAGCTGAATCCGACAGTCACCTAATAAATTCTCTTTTTGTTATGTTCCCTTGGTTCTGATAGAAAGTAGCTTTTGCAATAGCAATTCTAGAACTAACTCTAAACTTTCAGTTATGCAATAAGGCTACAATTGCCTTTAATACTAAGCATGAGAGACTCAAGCTATGAAAGAATTTTGTGATGCTTTTTCTTACAAGATGCAAATCGCATTCAGTGCTCTTCATGAAATAAAACTTTGCGCGTATGAAAAAATCTTCACGGAAAGTCCAGAGTTTGCGCTTTTCATTGCGATGCGAAAAAGCTCACCTGAATATAAAGCTGTTTAAAAGTACAAGGCCGCTTGTTTTGTTTTGATTTCCAACACTTTTTCTGAGGTTATAAAAAGCAAAGAAACTCTTTCAGATCTCACTTTTGATTCTAATGGTATCGAAACCTGTCTAAATTGCATAAAAAAGTCTTTCTAACAATGAAAATTCCACTGCCCATATTCATAGAACAGAAGAATCGTATCTGTATAGAGTGACTAAATGGGGAGTTCGACGACTGCAAACTTGCAATTACACTCAAATTCTGCTATATGCGCAAATATTATTAGCAGTCAAACCTCCGCCAACTTTTCTCGCAAAAGATGCGCGAGATATCATAAAACCTCCTTTGCACGTTGAAACATTTGGCTCACTTTGCCAAGAAGAGAGAACCTCAAATTTACTGAATCAGAAAATGAAGCATATTTGGATGCAAACTGCTCAGTATTTCACAGTTTTTGAAGAAATTTTTTATCACGTATAGCGTTCCAAAATCGTTACTCAAAATCATTAAAGCAGCAGTAATAGGCGCACAGCATTTACATATGAGCCTCTTCAGCTATAATTCTCCTGCGACCATCCTATAGGAACAGGCCTATTTTTGAGACAACCGTGTATCTGAAAGGCGTTCATGGGCTACTTTTCGAGATAGGCTGAACATTGTTCTTGCAGCAAAACTTGCACCTCACAACAGCTCAAAGTTACAGCAGTTTAAGGAAAATTTCCCAAGAGTTCGAGAACTTTTTTAGTTCACAATTACTCCGCTTAGAAGTGCCAGTACTCCGCATAGAAGTGCCACTTTCAACCACGGTACTTGTACTTCCCTGATGGCCATTGATGACCGATTTCTCGAGAACTTACGGGAGTTTCATTTTGCGAGTAAAATTTTTTCATGCTCGCTTAGACAATAAAAAGCTTTTGCTCTTGTCTAGGAATTATGTTCTTTGATATCGCAAAGAGGACAATTTGCACAAAGAGAAAAAAACGCAGTTCATTATTACAATCCTACCACTTCAGTGGGTTTGAATTACAAGCATCACACACTAATCAACTCATTCTTTACAAACTCAGTGCAGCTTTCATCGAACTGTTCTAATCTTCTAATCGCAAGTTTGCTTCAATCCATCTTCTTCAATATCCATGTCTTGCAAAGGAGACTCAACCAGTCATAAACGCTGTGCTGTCGCTTTTCTCTCGTGTACCAGTATAAACAAACCCAAAAATTCATCAGAATTTTTCAGAGCACACTCAATTGCTGAAAATAACTATGAACTTCCTGTTTTTCCTTTTCCTCCTGGGAGCTTGTTTCTTAGGACTAACGAATGCTAGTACCCTCTCGCCAGAAGAATCGCGTCGCTTGTAAGGCTGAAATTACGTTGTTTTAATGCGCAACAAAAATGTTGTGTTTTCAGCATTGAATGTATGAAGAAGTGCAAAGGTGACAAATGGACATGCGAAGAAAATTGTTCCCCTGTGTATCAATGCATGAAGAAGTGCAAAGGTGACAGAGAGACATGCTTAAAAAAGTGTGAGCATGCCCAGTAGGAGGATCCATTCTGTATGAAACGAGCACTTTTCCTCATTGCCTGTTTCTTCTTGTTATAAGATGAAATAAAGCATTGTGCAGCGTGTTTGCAGGGAAATTCAATGTGAAATACTTTGCTAAGAGTGTGTGGTATTTTCTAAGTGCCTTCACTCTGCAACAAGGTCAATCATTTGTCGGCAGCTATGTTTCATAGAAGATCAAGCGAAAAATCCTCCTTACGCAATTTAGCGAAGAACACATTGAGAGCACTAAATGCGATTTGCATCTTGTAAGAAAAAGCATCACAAAATTCTTTCATAGCTTGAGTCTCTCATGCTTAGGATTAAAGGCAATTGTAGTCTTATTGCATAACTGAAAGTTTAGAATTAGTTCTAGAACTGCTATTGCAAAAGCTACTTTCTATTAGAACCAAGGGAACATAAGGAAAAGAGAATTTATTAGGTGACTGATGTCAGGAGTTCGATAGCGTCCATGCCTAAAATTCTCAATTTATTCCAGAAACGAGTTGAGTTCGAAGCCGGAACCTCAATGTAAGGTTCCGGCTGGTTCCTTAAATCTGATAACGACCCTGGACCAAGTTGTCCTATTTTGACTACGGTAATTTGGATAAATGTCTTAAACAAAAGTCTTAACCTAAGTTCCCCAACAATATTTATTTTGATAATTCAATGAGCAAATGAAACACATAAAAGTACAGCGAGCGAATGCAAAACTGTGGTCCGGATAAAGATGAGAATAGAAATATGAAGGGAAGAAACAGTAAAGAAACTTGATGCCATGAGATTACTGTGTCTCACAAACATAACTTCACATATTTATACTGTTTCTTAATAGAATTTCTAGCAATTATCAATGTTTTATGTTAGTGCATTACTTGATAATAAGGTAAAAGTTGTAGGGAACCAATGAAATTTATACAAGAACACTTCAATACTTCCACATTTACCTCACAACCGGCTGCATCATGGCGTTGATTGCTCCACACTAGCCACTCCCAATTTTCATTTTTCACATCTGTCGGGACCCAGCCCGGCAACAGCTGCTAGCTGAGGGGCAGAGCCATCGCCTAAGGCTCAGTGAAGGTGGGAGCACCGGAGCCGACGGGCTCGCCCCACTTCCCCCTCCCCCTCCCCTATGTATCACTCATATTTAATTAATCTTAATAAATATTTATAATAACTCTAATGTACTTACCTCGCACCGCTACGCTCAGGCAAGGGTCCGTACACCCCTTGAACCTGACATGGAGATCCCGGGGAGATAAGTCTAACGTTAGGCTGAATTTTTTTTCTTTCCCTTTTTCTTCGAATATTTTTTTTACCCAATCTTTTCGAATGTTTTGGGAATCAAAACGCATACCATCCCCTCCACATCCCACCCACCCACCTCCTTGTGCACAAAGGAAATCGAACGAAATATCTGTGAGTTCTTTCTATACATTTAACCAAATATTGCAGTGAGCTAATTATTGTATATATCGATTTTTAACAGTCCTGCGAGCGAGCCTACTTTAGCAGAATCTTTTTGAATCTTTTCTTGGCCAAGATGTTTTTTTTTACGTATTTTGCACCGGGAATACACCGGGAAATGCCGTGAAAAGCCGTGAATAGCTATAATTTACCGCGGTTCACCGGAGTACCCGCGAAAAAACCGTGACGACCTAGTCACCGGGTCCGGTACCATTGTGATTATATGTTGCGATCGCGCTAGGATTTTTGCATTTTACGTAGATTTTTTGTTTTTCTTTGCAATACAAGGACTCGCTCGCGAATACCGGTACCCAAATCAATACTAGTACTAGAAAAAAAATCCTTTCTTTCCACACACTAAGTATAGCCGGAAATTCCTTGGCTGGCACCAACTGTGGTGTCACACTAGCTAAGTCTTCTCGCTGATACACTGCGCAACACGTGCGGTAGCAATTAATATCCTCGGGAGTTTACAAACATATGTCCGGTAGGATTAGCGTCCCAAAGGGGATTAGCAACTACCCGACTGACAAGAACATATGCTCGATAGGATTAACATTTGTATCTGTCACCTAGCTTACAATGCGCGACAGTTGACCGCGCACTAGGAGAATGTTACACCCTATAATCCAAATTAATGAGGGCTACATCCAATAGTCCCTACGCCGAATTTACACAAACTATGTTTCTAAGCACATTACAACTGCACCCTGCATAGGCTAGGAACTCTGTGTAGAAGTTTTTTTTTGTGAATTTAAAAACGGAAACAACTGTTTATTTCATGAAAAAAAAACAATAACATAGAACAACGAGAAATTAACCCTTCAGTTCCCTCTATTTCTTCCCGCTTTCTCGTCCAACTTGTCCTTCAACCTATCACCTCCAACGATACCGTTGAAGTAGACATTCGCCGTCGTCCCTCTCAGCAGCGCGCTTTCGAACCCAGGAGGCATCGGTATCTCATCTCCCAAGCTCTGCACACTCAGACTCCCGAAGTGGAGCATCACACTCAGCTTGTCCCCCTTCCAGCTATCGCGTTCGGGGGACAATTTGTAGTGATAATTCGAGCTCGTGTGCAGACTGCCTTAAAAACAAAAAGCAGATAAGAATAACGGTAGAATAAATAACTGGACTTACACTGCAACCTCTTTCCAAGCGTGCGCCTATCATACACCTCAACTTCCACAATTGCTGTGAAGTCTGCCTGGATACGAGCATAAGTTCGCTTCACCTCGCCTCTCACTAGATGGGAGAGGATTCTTTCCTCATTCAGCAGCTGCTCCTCCAGCATTGATACATCTCGCGTCCCCTCCAGGATGTGAATGAGCTTGCGAATCGTGTGGAGATCCTCAGTCACTTCCATCACTTCCTTAAAAAAAAATAATAATAAATTTTTTTTCTTTACATTTCTAAGGAATACAAAAAAAATTAGTCTACTAATTAAGATAACTGGAAACTTTAAACACTTACCTTGGATAACTCCTTGTTTATTTTCCGATCCGAAAGCGACTGTTTTTCGAAGTTTTCCTTTTCCCTCCTCATTTTATAATCCAGGATTCCTATCTGTCGGGTCTTCTCATTCAATTGCTTATGTAGATTGTCACACGCAGCCCAGCCGTGCTTGGATGAACTTTGGGACTGATCCAGCATCTTTTGCTTCCATTCAAGCTGAGACTGAGTTGCAGCCAGCTGCTTCTCTAACCTAACGACCAGCGCCTCCAACGACGCGGTACGCTCCCTCAGCTAAAAGAAACGCACGAGTAACAATGTAAAACTTGAGTAAGACTTCAAAACAAATCCAAACTCTTACCTCGGCTTCCACATTCAAGGCAGCCGCAGATTCCTCTGGCTGCGGAGAACTGTTTCTGGTGCCCACCTGGCTCCACTGTTGACTTACCAAGCTCCATTCGGAGCCGGCTTCTGAACCATTGTTGACTTGTTGAGCGGACATTGGTAACTGGAAAGATGAAAATCAAGTGTCAAATCGGAATTTTGAATAGGAGTGAGAGGAAAGATAAGGACAAGCGTAGTATGTGGATGTCGAATTGACAGTGCCAGAACAATGCCCCGATGCCTGTACAATGTGTAAGCCTTAATCCTTACGGGGCCGTAGAGAACCAACCCACAGCTTCATCTAGAGATTTGGAGAGTACAGAGTACACAGAAAAAACTAGTGGATCTTGCAAGAATTTTGTATATTATCAATTTGTAAATATACAACAGCCACAAAATTACACTTCTGAAGCTACCGTAATCTTGGTGTATGGTCCCGCCCACTTCGGGAATTACAAACCACCTGTCAACCCGCCTCCAGAAGCCACTTGTAAGCTCATTCAACTCTCAGTGGTCCAACCAGCCGGTTGGTCCCTCTCCTCTTCTACCTTCGCTCCACTGCCGCTCCAACCACATCTTGCCTTGCTGCATCTCGAAGAAGCTACCGTATCCGTCTGTCAACAACCAGCCAATTAACGACTACACTTGCAACGATAGGATAGAGGTGCGCTTTTCACGAAAATTGATCATTTTTTTTCTTCTCTCTTCATTGCATCTCATAACAACTACAAAATACATCAACAATATAAATTTTTCATTTGAAAATACGAAACAAAATTCAAAAAAAAATATCTTCTTTCTCTGAGATTTTTTCCTTCGTATGAGCAGTTCTGATACTGATATCAGTTCAGTCACTTCAACACGCATTCGTAAAATTGTTGTTCACTATATCACAACACCGTTAACTCGTGTTCATAGTAGTTCAGATACTGATCTTAGTTCAGACAGCCCAAAGCACGTTCTCAAAGTTACTCCTCACGGTGCTATAAAACGTAGACCTCGTGCTCACTCTCGAATTTCGCATAAAAGAGTAAAACAAAGTAAAGTCCAACTTTTGCCAATTGATCACGCCTCTTCTGCTCCTTCATTGCTAAGTGATAGTTCTTCACCTGCTTCTATTTCATCCAGCTCACTTGTTTCTTCTTCTTCATCTTCTCAAAAAGGGAACTCTAACTCTGAATTAAATACTGTAGAATATAATACGGTAATATTAGATCCTAGCGCTGTAATAGTTCAACCTATACCAGTAGAAGATCAATCTAGTACTGTAGTAACACAGCCGAATACCTCTGAAAACCCTCTAGTACATTTATTTACTTTTGATCATCCTATAGATAATTTTCAAGAGCAAAGTAGGGTACCTGACCACCTTTTCGAAGTAAAACGAGAACTGGTCCCCGATCACGTAAATTCAAATTTTCAACAGTCTCTTGAGGAACAAATTGATATAGTAGAAAGTACTCAACTTAACACAGTAGTAGATACCCCATCACAATCTTTTATAGTACAGCGAGAACTGGTCCCCAATCACGAAACTCCAATTTTTCAAGAATCTTTTGCGCAACAAGTAAATACAGTAGTAGACCTACCAGTACACCCTTTTGCAATAAAACGAGAACTGGTCCCCGACCCCGAATTTATTGATTATCAAGAGTTTCATAGTGAACAAGTTAATACCGTTGTAGAGGCTCCAGAACCACTTTTCCTAATCAAACGAGAACTGGTCCCCGACCAAGAATCTTTAGATTACCAGGAATTTTCTGTTGAACAAGTCAATAACGTTTGTGAAACACCAGTAAACCCTCTTTTGGCCGAACGAGAACTGGTCCCCGAGAACGAATTAGTAGATAATCAACAAATTCTTGCCGAACAAGTGAATTCGAGTGTAAAAACAGCACTTCACCAACCTCCACCAATACGAGAACTTGTCCCCAACGTAAAAGTTTTTTCTGCACCTATTATCAGTGAAAATTTAACTTTCGAAATGCAACAAAACCAAGTGATAGAACATTTGGATGCTATTTTTGATAAGCTGTGTTTATCTTCATATGCAACGAAACTTCCAACATTTTCCGGGGAACAAGGTGGCAGTGGTTTGATGAGTTTTTTGCAAAATTTCATAGAAATAAGTAAAATCATGGGACTGACAGCCCCTCGGATGGCTAGATTGTTACCTGCACACCTTAAAGGCACAGCAAAAGCTGTTTTTGATAACTTTACCGATGCACAGAAAGAAAATTGGGACACAATTGTTGCTGCTTTGCGTTCACATTTCGCTACTAGTCATTTCTTGGATACAGCGCGAGAAAAACTCATGGATTTAAGAATGAGGAACGGCGAATCACCAACTCTGTTTTCCAGTAGAGTAAGACGTAACGTATTGGAAGCTTATCCAGAGGCTAATGAGGAAGACACTAGGAAATTTCTCCGATCAGTAGTTTTGAAGAACGGAATTTCACCAAAAATCAAACAAAAGCTCAAACTATTGGGTCCGCTTCCCGCCGATTACGACGATTTGCTCAAAGAATCCGAACGTGTTTACGATTTGATCCAAACAGAAGAAAATTCTGTAGGAGATTCGCTGCTCATGGAAAAAGTAGACAAAATTCTCGATAACATGAGTTCAGCCCCCATCAATAGCATCTATAGAGGAAGTTCCTATAGACCCCCATACAATCATCCACAATTTCGAAGCAGATTTCGTACACCGAGAAATACCGGACGCTACAAATCTCCTTTCAATCCTAGACAAAAACGATTCAATTCAGATAGAAAACATGTTAGATTCAGCTCTAACACCCGAGAAAATTCTCGTGAACAATTTCGACGCCGTTCACCATCCTTTTCGCAAAGAGACAGATCGACATCTTTTTCGCAAAGGGACAGGTCTAGAACACCGCCCCGGAATTTTCAGAATAGGAACTCAAATCAATCTCAAAGAGGTAGAAATGTAAATTTCATTTCTACTAGCAGTTCATCGAATATGAGGGGTATCCCTCACTCTCTTTTCCTAGTGACTTTGATTTGCATGTCAATTCCCTCTGTTTTGACACTTTCTCATACTTACCAAATATGTGCTGCAGGAAAATCTGGTTGGCCAGTAGCCTTCCCAGAAACTACCTCCTGCACACATTCTACAAACGTTTCTGAAATTTTGATAACAACTGCCGCTGTTTATGTAGAGAGAACAGAACCATACATGGCCAAAGCATTCCACTGTTTCAATAAAACCAGAAAAATTTGTGCTTCTTCGTATTTGCATATCTCATTTTCCGTTAATAGCGATGAAGAATTTATGACATCAATTGATCCTGATTTGTGTACAACTTTGGCAGATACGAAAAAATTCATGGGTCAGCCATTAAAAGTACTTTCTAAACACGTATTTGGGTCGGACAACAATATTCATTACTCTTATCCTTGGTTTTTTGGAGAAAAATGCACATTTACCTCGAATGTTTTTGTAGAATTTGGCGAAGTCGCTACCTATGATGGTATTAAAGTAATTAGCCAATTTGGAGACACAGGAAAATGCTGGTATCGTGATTATCGTTGTTTACTTTCTCATGGTACTCTGGTTTGGGAAGCACAGCAAAAAACCGGTAAACCTTTTGCATGTAAGTACGAAAAAACCGTGGAAAGTGTCGCTTATGTGACTCCATCGCACATAGTTCTAGATAATATCCAAACAGCGCTGACATACAAAAATGTCACGTACACACAAACACAATTAGGTTTTTGGTGCTTACCGCACAAGGCTATCGCCATGGATAACGGGGTATTTGTCTATTTGCCAGAACTTCAAAATTTCAACCCACGCAAAAATTTTTCTGTTAGGCCGGATTTCGTGGACGATATTAATCGCAAACATTTTCGCGCCTCAAGAACTTTGCAAATGCTGGACACGATACATCAAAACCGCCTCGAAACTCTTAAGAATCTTAAAGAGCAACACACTAGGCGGATGAAACGGGTAGCTCTTCTTCAGAATCAAAAGAAGGATCATAAAGAATTAACAGCGTTTCTGATACATGGCCAAAATCCTCCTTTGATCAAAACACCTGCAAACGATTCAGCAGCAGTAGCTCAGCATATCGCTGCCAATGTTGAACCCAATTTTTATCAAATTAATAAAGATTTTGAACTAACGCACGAGCAGAGACAAGATCAAGCACATTACGAATTAAATACTAAAATGCAGTTTCTCAAATTAAAACTTGAAGAGGTTATCAAGCATGATTTTCACTATCTTTTTGATCGTATATGTACATTAGCTAATTTTAAAAGTCAAGCAATCAAAAGCATAGCTCACATCAATCCAACAAGTGCGGCTCGTATTTTGCTCAATAGGAACGACATTTTTGCTGTCACAACCGGAGACGTACTTATGATTACTAAATGTAGAGAAGTTAAGGTTGACGAAATATACCTAGATCATAAAGTTAATGGAATTTGCTACATGTTAACACCTGTTCGAATCGGGGGCGATATCTATTATGTACAACCAGGCACACGTGATTTGACTCCAATTAGCCCTGAAGCAAATTGCGGACATCTTCCTTTTGGTATTTATGAAGATGGAACAAATAATTACCAATCACCGCGTGGTCCTGTAGATGTCGCTCGCATTCATACAAACCTTCCATATGCTCTGGCCAATCAGGACATTATTTTCAATTCACCACCCATCTTTCATTCGGATTTAGCACGGTTAACTACCGATGTTGACATGATTAAAAATCGTTTGAATTCTGAGCAAGTATATTCTTTACAGCCAGGTATACCTATTCAGCGAAATTCTTTTGGTGAAGATTTTGACAGAGAAGCAGTTAGTAATGTTCATTATATAGAATCGAAGGCTTCTGATATACTCTTGATGGGAAAACAGAAGGTTATTCAAGCACTAGGTTTACACACTTTAGTCAGAGTTATCGTCTATATAGTTATTTGCATCATAATCATGATATTCCTCATTATACTTTATTACCAGTTTTTCATTGTTCGAGTTATTTTTCATCTTTTGTGGAAAATTTTGCGTAATCTAGTATCCTTTATCATCAAAAATTGTAAAAGAAAAGAAAACAATCACAATGACTGTAACAATGAACCTACTGCACC